GGTGTCCGATGGATGGTAGAGCAGGTTGGAGTGTTTGAAAAAATGGTGACCTTGTTTGCGTTTTGCACAATTACGTTATCAAACGATACAACTGCAAGGGATTGTAACATTTATACTTTATGTGAGTCCCATAGTGGAGCTGTTTCTTGACGTTTTTCTCTCTCCCCTAGTACGTGACTGACTGATTGTAACACATGTACTTTATGTTTGCTGTGCGAATCCTGCAGTTTCAGTTTCTAGACAATCTTTATCTTCTCTCCCCCAGCATGTGACTGACGTGATCCACCCGAACCGCGAACCCCGCAGCCATGTGAGCGTCAACTCGGGCCGCTTCCTGCCGGGGCTGGGCGAGGGTTTGGTCTACGGGACAAACAAGGGAGACCTGCTCTTCTGTCGGCCAGGGTGAGTGTAGTCTAAGACTTGGGCTCTCCCCCCCCGGCGTGTTGCTACTGACTAAGTTGTCTTTTGGCCATTCCCAAAGAGAGGATGTTAACATGTTCTTATGAACAGTAGAATTTTAAATGGGCTGATTTATGTCATGCTCATACCTTGCCGGAACAACATAGGGGACACTGCTGCTTTTTCTTTCCTCATCCTTACTGTCGTCATTTTTCCTCTACTTCTTTTTTATGTTTGTCACTCTATTGTGAACTGCTATTTCTGGGGTGCCTTGATAGTCGAAGCAGACTTTGTGCTGTTGAGACTAGAGAGGTGAGCAGAGTAAACCTGATTCCCCTGTTTGGACTTCTGTTGACATCCACCCCTTGGCGGTCATATTATTATGGCCATATGCAGTTGGGAGCGCCGCAAAACCTTTCTAAAACTAAATTAAAGACTTGGACTCTGTGTTAGACAAGTTTCTGAGTTTGTTTTTAGGATGAGGGGGTTGCTGGGGTATTCTAGTGTGCTCCGCTGGATCTACTTTTTGTCAGTGCTACTCTTGTCCTGATTTGTTTCTCGTCTAAAGTGGCCACTGTAGAGTTGACTGGGAAACTTTATAATTCTGCTCAGCTTGTATTCTGAAGATTTGGTTAGAGGTTGATGGATGTTCTACTGAGGTCTACTCCCTCAGCTGTCTTTCATAGTTACAAAATACAATGTTGATTTTGGACATTTTTGTTTGACATTTTCAAGCGGGAATAATAGAGAGATTGGTTTTGTAGAGATGGATTAAAACATTGGCCCACTTTCTTTCACAAGACTGAAATGCTGGCCCAATATATTCTTTCTTTCTTTAGGTATTTTACTTTTTACTTTTTGTGTCTTTTGATTTCCTTAATACAGTGGTATCCACCTAACCATAACCCCCATGGGAAGCAGGTCTTGGTTGCTACCCCCCCCCGAGACTTCCAAAATAGTGCGTGGCTTGTGGTGAGGTCCAAGTAGGCGTTAAGAGATAAACAGGAGATTGGAGGGGTGGGTGGGGGGGGGAAGGCACGTTGAGATATGGGCCATTCTCATTGTTCACTGTTTTTGAATTGTCAAAAATATTTTTTGTCAGATGATTTATAGCAACAAAGTTTGCTGTGAGAGGAAAATGTTGCTGCTAAAAAGGGATAATTTTTACTGGAAAATTCCATTACACAAGCGAAGGTTACTGTTATGCAGATGTTGCCTTTATCTGGGATGCTGTTAAGTGGTCGCAGCTGTATTAGAAAAAGGTTGTCTGTGAAAGTTTGAGAATATGTAGTCTTTGTTGTCTTCAGCAATTGTAAATAAAATGCTGTTTCTGTATCACTTTATCAGGCCTAGAAAAATCCAGGACACAGAGTGGACAATGGCCACCAACTCTTCTCACCGTCGTCATGATGGTATGACATCACGCAGGAGGAACCTGGCACGCACCAACACGTCGACGCAGACCACCACGTGTAGCATCCGACGCACGGTCAGCACGCAGACGCAGCAGGGACACGCCGAGGAGCGCATGGAGGAGGAGGACAGTTGACCCTCTTTTGCTTGTGTTTTAGATATATAGGAAAATTGTGCCATCAGTTGCCTTTTATAGGGAATAAAATGAGTTGCCTACTTGAACATCAAGTAATGGTGATGATGGTTCACCTGATGTTATAGGAAAGTTTTTTTGTGTTGTAACAACAGATAAATGTCAGATATGTAAGCTGCTATCCCAAAATTGGTCTCCTGACGATCTGGCCCATGGTTTTTAAAAAAATGAAGAAAACAAATTTCGATGCGAAATATAATACGGTTTTGTTTGTTTTAAGGATGAAGAGTATGTGATTACTCTTGACATGAATACTGAAGATTTTTATTGACAGGCTTGAAATATTCGAGTATAGTGGGGTGTAGTTTTTTATACTTTGAATCACCATGAGAGGTTATTTTTCTTATGTATTGCTTTCATTATGAAGATTGATTTTCTCTGTTAACTTTTTAAGTCTTTACAGATTCCCCATTTTCAGTACAATCAATTTTGGTTGGTCATATTTTCTCTGATTTCTATGTGGGATGATTCAATTATGATTTTGTATCAGAAAGATCCAGGTTCAAACTGACTAGATTCTCTCAGATTATGTTAAGGATCTTTTTTGTTATTGTGTTAGATATGAGTAATTCTGACTTCTTGAAGTGAGGACAAAATCTATTTTTCTTACTTTTTATTGAATTTAGATTTATCTATATATGAATCAACAGATTTAAAGTGAGGAAACTAGAGGCGCCTTCGCACATCAATTTTTTTGTTGTTGTTGTCAGTCTAAATCTGTGTATTATGTAATCAAATGATCTAGTGTGACTTGAGTGTAGTCCTGGCAGTGTTGATGAATAATTTTTACACCTAAAATCGTCCATATACAGACTTGCAAATTTTGAAAATTGTTTCTGGAATTCTGGCGTTTTTGCCAATGACTAGAGACTAGCAACATTCACATTTTCCCCCAGTCGTCTAAAAATTGTCAGACCAAAGAATTGATCATGATCTCATTTTTTTTTTTCAATGGAGATTTGGGTAAAACAAGGGCTGTTTGTCTTTGGTTGTTCTGTTGGGATTTTCAAGTGAATGTTAGAGCAAAGTCGGGCAATTTGCCACATTCCAGCTTGTCTGTAGGATAACGTGCTGTTCTCTCGGTTAACGGGACTGCTGTGCCTGGGAACAAGCTACTGGCAATTATAGATGTTGCCGTACTAAATGAAGGCTGAAATAGTATCGGTTGGATTTTACATCTTTTTCTAATGTTTTTAACTCACTGACTACCAACATTTTTGGGGGCGCCCGGCCCCTGAAACAACCATTTCGGGGGTATTTTCAAAAAATCACTGAGACCAACCTATTAAAGATAGAAGCTTCAAATTTTCGCTGTTAAGAAAAAACAAAACAGATTTGTGTGATCTTATTTCGTTGTTTTTATAAAAATATTCGCTCTTGCAGACTGTTGACGTCTTGGTCGAGAGGACGCCATTTTGCGGACTGAAGAGTGACTTTAGGAAACAATTCATTAAAAAATTTGTCTCTCGTGCTAGAGAGCAGGAAACGGTCTCAAATTCAATGGAAATGACTCATAATTTAATACAGCGAGCCGTTCGTACCACAGTGGCTACCCTTTAGCAGAAAAAAAATTCCAAATATGTTCGTGCCATTAGAAAATTCGTGCCACACTGACATGAACAGTAGCCAGTGAGTTAAATTCATCTTTGCATTGTGTTGTGTATGTTGGGTCAACTTTGCCTTCCTACTGGGGAAACTTCGCAACTGCTTTTGGGAAAAAGCTACGGGCAATTATAGATATTGCCGTACTAGAAAAAGGCTGAAATAGTATCGGTTGGATTTCACTTCTTTTCTCATGTTTTTTAAATTCATCTTTGCATTGTGTGTAAACTTTGCCTTTCTACTGGGGAACTTCGCAACTACTTTTGGGGAACTTTGTCGCCACTTTCAGCGAAACTCACCAGTAGTTTTAGCCCGTCAGGCTTATTTCGATGTTGTTTTATTATTGAGGTTTTTTTTCTTTCTTTCTTTTTCATTTTCAACGTTTCATTTGATAGTTCAGTTAGTTACAAGTAAACACTTGTACACACAAAACAGCCAAATTATTACCAAATAGTGCATGGACAGAACATTTTTACAATGTTGGCAAGCAGTGTCAAAGCTGGCCTCCTAAATGATAGTTTAAGTTGTGTCGATTGGACCGTAAAAACACCTATAGTTTTTATTCTACTTCTGTACTATCATCCCACTGCAGCTTCTGTGTGACAGTTACAGTGTTTCCTCTCTACTCTATGATAGCGACTTGGGATAGTTGAGTAGTCATATATTGACACTGCAGCACAGATAAACAAAAGTTGTAAAAATGTGAAGTGGTCTGTGCCTGTTGTGAGGGATGTCATCTCAGATAATAAAGATTGGACAAAGAGCACTTCAAACTTCAGAGAGTAGTCCAAGAACTGGGCCAGTATGTGCTATTGTATTGTGTAATTATGTATGATGATAATAATATGCTGTTTTTGAAATAAATTTTGAACTATTGCCTTCTTGTGTCTGTGTTGGTGAGTGTGGGCGTTACAGATCCTTGTTGTTGTTTTTTTGTGGGTGGTTGGCGGATGCTCTGGTGTGGTTTGCTTCTACTTTCCTATCAAACATCTATCGTCCATATCTCCCCTCCTTCTTTTTTATCTTTGTTACTCTCTTGTAACACCTCTAATCTTCTGGCGCTCATATTATGACCTTATGCAGTTGCGAGCGCTGTAAAACTCTACTAAAACTAAGACCGTTTTTCTTCTCTTTTTTTCGGTTGTACATGTATGCCTCTTGGAAATACGTAGAATGGATAGTTGGCAGGTGCTTTGGTTTGGTTTGCTCCTTCTTTCTATTAAACAAGCACATATCGTCCTTATCTCTCCTCCTTTTTTTCCTGTTTGTTACTCTCTTGTTGGGGGCTCTCGTGGCCTAGAAGTTCAGGTGTTGGCCTCTCATTCAAAGGTTCCGGGTTTGAATCCGGGTAGTGACTGAAAATTTTTTTTCTCTAAATTTGTCTCCTTTCACCTCCTTTCCTGCTCTCTACCCATGTTCTGTCGTCTGCTTTCGTCTCCTTTTTCTGCCCCCACTCCCTCATCTCCTTTGCCCCCCTTCTCTGGGCTCCTGACTCTTTCTACAGCCTTTCTACTGCTACTCCTTGGCTTCTTCTTACTGCTGTCTTTCAGCCACACCCCTGATCTTCTGGTAGGAAAGATCTACGCTTAGCCTTCTCGGACAAGGGTGAAAAATCTCGGAGGGCCCGTGTGCAAGTTGCGCACGTTAAAGATCCCTTGGTGGTCTAATATCGATAAGAGTAGGCTTCGGCCGCCACGCGGGCAACTGAAAAAATTAATGCGTCCCGCGCGCTCATATGACCTTATGCAGTTGCGAGTGCTGTAAAACACTTACCAAAACAAACAACTCTCTTGTTGTAACACCTTTAACTCTTTAAGGACGAAGCGGACGTATGTGTCCGACCAGTAATCAGTAACAGACCAAAGGCAACGTTGCGGCATATTTCGACCCATCATGCACAAACCAAAAAGGGCCTACGTCAATTTGCATATTTCATAGCGTGCATACATAATGGCCCGCTCATTAAAGTTTCAGGCACAAAGAAAACAGAACGGAAAAATCTGCAAAAAAGAACGAAGTTGTGCCTTTATATTTTTTCAGTATATACACGTATTATGTACTCCAAAACAGTGCGTCTTCAATGAGTTAATCTTTGGCCCGTATATGACCCAGTTGTGTTGCAAGTGCTGAGAAACACTTACAAAAACTTCACATTTCTCGTTCAAATGCACAGTAGAATTGTAAATGCGCTGATCCAACAATGTCGTGCCTGAACTACAACAGGGAACTGCTGCTTTTTCTTTCTTAATCCTTACTATCGTCATTTTCCTCTGCTTCATTTGTTTGTTTGTCACACTCTTGTGACCCACTATTTCCGGGGTGCCTTGATAAAATGATAGTGATAGTCGAAGCAGACTTTGTGCTGTTGAAGCTAGAGAGGTGAGCAGAGTGAGTCTGATTCCCTGTAAGGACTTCTCAGTCGACATCCACCCCTTGGCGCTCATATGACCTTATGCAGTTGCGAGCGCCGCACTAAAACCTCTACTAAAACAATAAAAATAATTGTGTTCATCTGTCAGTACACTAGTATATCATATCGACATCTGTGATGTCGCGAGTAGGCGCTTTGCCACTGCATGAAGGAGACTTGGGGTCGATTCCTGAACGGGGATAATTTTTATTATTTCAGACTTTCTGTTCGGATGTTGTATCCTTCTCAGTGTAGGTTGGCCCCTTACAAGCAGGGTCGAAGACTATTATCGAATTATCGAGATTTTGTCGATGGTAGCGTAAAAGCATCTGCATTTTAAAATAATTTAGAGCTGAATGTTTCTCATGATATGGATTCAAGGTTTATATAATTCATAGATAATATAATTCATCTGCTCGTGCGCCAATTTTATGATAGTGGGTAGTTGGCAGGTGCTCCAGTGTGGTTTGCTCCCATCATTTTTATCTCTCCTCCTTTTTTATGTTTGTTACTTTCTCGAAATACCTCTAATCTTTTGCACTTATATTATGACCTTATTGTGTTGCAAGTGCCATAAAATTTTCACCAAAACTAAAAATGTTTTGATGTGCTGAAAGGGTTGTGAACTCTTTAAGATAGTTTCAGTTTCAGCATAGTCTTCAGTATATTGGGGGATGGCATTCAATTTGAGTGACAAAATCAAGGCCAAAAGTATAGTTGCAAAACATGGTCACACTTTGTGCATTTTCTCATGCTTGCCCACCCTCAGACTGAATATTGTGTCTTAAAAGGTGTACATTAATTAAATACGCCAATGACAGAAAGCAAGATAAAAGGTATTCTCTCCTTTTACATTTTTATTGACAAACATAGAAATGTAGTAATGTGGTAAAGCACTGAGGTTGTTCAAGAATGGATCAGGCTTCAATGGACGGAATGGGAGTTCTCATACATGATGTATGCTTCCCAGGAAGTAGAGATTGTATTAAAATGCTATCGGGTCTGTTGGGGAAATATTATACAGATTGTAAAGCACATAGAGCTTGCTGTTCAGTGGAAATCTGCACTATACCAGTGCTTTATCATTTACTATGTACAAACATATTGGGATACTGGCAGGCATTTGAGAATTGTACATTCTTTGAAGCAAATGATCAGTGATACTGACAAAGACATTCGTTAGAAAATCTTCTTGCAGCAACATATCCTTCATTAGTTGCACATAACTGAACTAATATATGTTTCCAACGACACAGGGCTGCAGTTGTTAAATCAATTTATCAAATTGCATTTACTCGTAAGTTTGCTTCACAGATCCACCTCCGCTTTGATTGCGATAGATGAAGATATTCAGACATGTATGAACTGACTCGAATGGCATTATTTTAATTTGATGAGAGTAATAAAACCATGGAAACAGAAACAACTTCATATAAATGAAAATAAAGTGTGAGCATTTCCAACTCTCAATTCCAGAACATTTTATAAAATTAGAATTAATTGGGAAAGTTTGGCTCAGGGCCCAGAAAACAGTCTTGCTAAATCACAATTCAGAGAACATTCAATCACAGCCAAAGTCATTGTCATAGAAATTCAAAAGAAAAGTGTGGTAATACTTTTGTTATTCACAGAAGACGTTTGGTCCCCGCAGATGACGTTTGGTCCCCGCAGATTTCGGTCACAGTTATAATAAAAGACCTACTTTTACCATCACATTGACACAAGAGACAGCTTGCTGAGTGACAGATTTTATAACAAATATCCCCAGAGGTCAAATGCTGAAGAGAAAAGTGACATATTTTTTACTGCATTTGACTGATATTCTTAAAAGACGTTACAGAACCCATCAAGAAATGAAAATAATCTACGACTGATCAATACTTGGCATATATCCAAATTTGCAACAGGACAAGAGAAACCGGTCCTTGATTTGTAGAAAGAGAATAATAAAATAATAACATGAACATTTCTTTTTTATATAGAATCATATCACAGACAGCAAACAATAAACTACTGGGTGTTGTGCCAATTTTTCACTTCTTCTTCTTCCCACTGGGGCTCTTCTTTCTTCCCTTGGGAGACTTTGCTTCCAGCTCCGCCTTCATTGCCGCTTCCTGATTGGCTAGTTCTTCTATTCTCTTTTGCTCTGCGTCCAGGAAGCGTTGGCGTATAGATTCTCTCGGAATGTTGATGCGTTCTCTGGCCGCATCCAGGGTCGCCTGTTGGGAGAAAAATGTGCAAATAATGAAAACTCGCCTGCTTTTTTGGCAACAAAACAGGAACAAGCAGTTGGCTCTGTAGGCACATACCATCTTTACTCAAACCTAGGAGAAAAATGTGTAACGACCCGTTGGAATCAGGCACTCGTCAATTTGGGGGCGTATTAAAATTTTTAAAAATTTAGTCATTAGTATCACCTTAAAGCTTACCCATTTGTCTCGCATTTGGCAAAAACAATACCCATTTATCTTGAGTACAAGTCGAGATATTTAAGATGAAGGAGACGGGGGTTACTTGGTGTCAGAGGTAAAATTAGCGAGAAAAGGACGGCCAGAGCTTGTTAACTTCCACAGATTGAGTGTCCTTGGAAACAAGAAATTTGTATTTTTTGCGCCTTTGAACAACATTTTTCGGTAAAATCAACACAGAAATGTGTTTTTGAATGGAAATAAAAAGTATTGAGCCTATACAAAAATAAAAAAAACCCAACCGCCCAACGGTCAGAAAACTACCGTTTTCTTTGATTTCACCATTTTGACGAGTGTCTGATTTCACTACACAGTCTCAAAAATGCTCTGCCTCGAAAATTATCCAATTTAGTTCAGTAAGAATTTTACGACCCTCGCAACTGCATAAGGTTATACGAGCGCGTGGAACACTTGTTGGTGACATTCACTACAATTATCCCATCTATTTGAGACCAGCAGGGCATTAACTCTAACAGTTGGCTACACTGGTGAAATGGTTCGACTATTTGAAGTCTTTGCGCTGCATGCAGAAGGCAAGAGTTCAATTCCAAAGTGGTGAAGTTTATTTAATCAATCTCTGTCCACTGGGACTCTGCTCCTCCCCCAAAGGGGGAAATTAACATTTCTTATGCACAGTAGAATTGTAAATGAGCTAATTCATCAATATCAAGCTCGTAACTGTGCCTGAACTGCATCAGCTTTTTCTTTCCTCATCATTACTATCGTCATTTTCCCCCTACTTCTGTTGTATTTTGTCACACTCTTGTGACCCACTATTTCCGGGGTGCCTTAATAGTTGAAGCAGACTTTGTGCTGTTGAAGCTAGAGAGGTGAGCAGAGTAAGCCTGATTCCCTGTAAGGACTTCTCTGTTGACATCCATCCCTTTGCGCTTGTATGACCATATGCAGTTGCGAGTGCCGTATAACCCTCTACTAAAAAAAAATAAAAAATTAGAGAAAAATTCCCAAACCTGCTGAAAAATGGCAGTTTCTTGACTTTCATTATTTCACCGAGCGCCTGATTTCACCACGCAGCCTCACAACTACTTTTTCCTCCACCAATCATGGAGGTGTCCGACGTACCTGCAGGGCCTGGCACTGCTCCAGCTGCTGCAGCTTGGTCTTGTTGCGCATCTGCCGGTCAGCGTCTCGCCATCTCTCCACCTGCTCGCGGAAAGCTTTGTACTCAGCCACATCTTTCTGACGTTTCTCCAACAGTTGATGCAGCTCTTCCTCCCCAAGGTAGCGGGGCTCTGCCAGAGTTTTCCTGTTGTGAGGGGAGACAGAGGGGGGGAAAAAAAGTACACTTTTGATGATCTTGGAAAAAAGAGCTGACATCAAGCACAGAATGTTACTCTTTCTCACATGAACGGGCCAAAACTACGGGATCAAATTGACTGCTTAGTGTATCATGTAAGACTTTGCCATGTGTCGAGCAGCCTGACTCTTAACTCTTTAAACCCTGAGTTTTTTTCCACCGTTTCCCGGAGTTTTTTCTACAGTCACCTAAACCTAGTGCACTATGTCTCATTATAACTGCAAAAGCTTGCCTCCAACTTCTAAATGGTGGAAACAAAGGCTAAGTCTTTACAAAAAAAAAACTTGATTCGGGAATAGTTCCGAAACACCAGCAAAAAATAGCACTAAATGAAACAAAACAGTTGTCACTAGTATCAGACGCTGACAGCGTCCAATGGGGAACGGGGTTATTACCGACAGACACTCCCAGCGTCCGATGGGGTTTAACACATTACACCCTAAGGGCCTGGACGGGAAGTCCATTGTTAGATCCTAAGCAAGGGGAAGGAACCCACCTCCCGTGAATACTAGCCTTTAAAATACACATTTTAAAAATACTATACAAATTCCAAAAATCCTGAAAAAATAAAAGTTAAAAAGAAAACTGAATGTAGTTTCAGAAAAATATAACTTTATATATGCGCAAACTGTTGGAAATGTTTTAACTTTAGTTCAATAGGGGTGTCCGACCAGTCACTCTTACTCTCAGCCTCGCGGTTGGGCCCTAGGTCTAAATTCTAGATTTTCTCCGTCTGATCAATCGGAATCGCCCCAAACTCTTCCTACAACGTTTTCATCAAAATCTGAGCCATCTGATTTGTCACATGCTCATTTTTGCTCAAATCCATCGTTATTTCCGTTTTCGAACTCAATTGTGTCGCTTTTCAACAAGTCGAGACACTTTCGAAGTGTCGGTAACGCGATCGCACTTCGATCAGCTCTAATACTAAAACTACTGGCCCGAAAAATTTCGTTTCGGTATCAAACGAAAGAAGAAACTTTTTGCTATACTATGCAAATCAAAATCCCGGCCCCAGAGTCTCGTCAAGGTGAGACTTTCGTTTCTAAAGACGCTGGGTCGGCGCGGGCGGTTCCGGGCGAGTCAGGGTGGAGCGCGTAAGGGAATTCCCGGGCGATCCCGGGCGAGTTAGGGTGTAATGTGTTAAAGAGTTAAATACTATCTATTGTAGAGACAGAACTGAACAAGATGTACACAAGCCCCATGTCAGACACAAAGGAAAAAGGAAGAAAGTTGCTCACCTCACAAACGGCGTAACATCCAAAGGCTCGAGCATTTCCTTCGCCGCTGGCGGGGGCGGTGGCTCTAAGGTCAGGGTCGTCTCTGACTCGAAATGCTCACCCAAGGACACAGGGGTCTGTGGGCCGGGTAGAGACTCCTGCTCGGTGACCGTGGCTCCGGACTCGGCGGCGGTGGGCGGGCCGGTCCCGGTGGTCAGAGAAGAGGCGGCCGTCTCAGCGCTCTGGTCATCCTCTGAGGCTCCCAGCTTGACCGTGTGAGAGTTGAGGTACTTGAGCCGAGACTGAAGGGCCTGCAGGAAGACAAAAACCAAAACATAGCAACTACTAAAAAACAATTGACCTGCATACAATACTGCTGTAAGTTGACAAAACATCTTTTTTGTCATTTTGGCGCCAACATTTTTTTATTTGCTAAATCGAAAGCCTGATCAACTAACCTACTTGTGTTACGCTGACAAAAAAACCCCTCTTTTTGTCGAAACTACTGTGAAGAAAAAAAAAGGCGTTTTGTCATCTGACAGCAGAATACTGATACAGGGGTGAAGATTCAAATTCTGTTACAAACTCCTGATCCCTCAGCATAAACAAAACCAAAGTCTTCCACAGTAATCAGGGTTTACTTCTTGCTGACAGAGAAATTACCATTTTGGCCAATAGAACGTTAACATGTTCACTTAGTACTCTCATGGATTTCTTTTATAATTGGAAACAGTTTTAAAAAGTACCATTTGATGTTTCCAAAATTAGGAAAAAAAATCCTTATACTTTAAAAACCGTGCAACTGACACATCTGTGCTGTGCTGGGTGGCACAAAGGGCTGAGGAACAGACCACTTTTCTTCGACTTGGAACAGTCAGCAGAGGTGTCCTGCACACTTATGAAAAATGATATAACTCTATATCTCTGAAGAGGATAAACCCTCTACGCCCGGGCCCTTTTTCTGGTACTAAATCTAAAAATAACAAATGGATAATTAAAACGAAACAAGTGAACCTACTTTAATAGTTCTTCATCTAACCAAAGAGACCTGTTTTCGGAAATCGTTGAAAAGTAATTTGATGTCAAAGTTGTTGTAAAGGAATGTACCCAAGCCGCTGTCAGTGGCTCATCGGCACAGCGGCTACAACTGTGAGCCACTGGGAGCAGTTTGCAGGAGATAAAGAGTTAAAGGAGTCAAAATTGTTTTAAAAAATGTAACTCCAACATTCACTCACCTTTGCAGCCCTCCCAGGTTCAGCATCCTCCCACGCTTTCTTCATCGCTCGGATCTCGTCGGCTCTTTCTGTGTCCTTCTTCACCTCTATCTCTTCCTGTCAGTGACAAAAAAGACAGGCTTGTAGTCATCTCATACAACGATATTTGGGAATATGGGGAGGAAGAAGGGAAGGGAGCTCAGGCTAGGGGGTGGGGGAGTGGCTGGGGTAGGGGAGAGGAGACGGAAGGGGGGAGTTTAGGGATATGGGGGGGGAAGAGTTCAGGAAGACAGAGAGGGGAGTGGGGAAGCTCAGGGATAGTTGGAGGAGGGGGGGGGAGGAGTTTAGGGTGAGGGAAGTGGGGAGGGGAGCTCAGGAAAAGGGGGGAAGGTGGTAGGTGCTACAACTCAGGTCTAGATCTGATTAAAAAAAACAACCTTAGTGGACAGGGGCTCTGGGTTTTTTTCACAGCCTATCAACACAATTATAACGTAAAGTAATTTGGAATTCAATCAATTCTGAACCAAGGTAGTAAGCAAAATATGATTCTTTCATCAAACATCAACTGAGAGACACATTGTACTTCTTCACTACAAACCTATATTGAACACTTTTAATTTAATAAGGAAAATAAAATAAAAAATTAACGGAGCATAAAGGAACCTAACAAACAAGTAGGTAGCGTAAACACTGCCTCGCGGGCACTCGCGGCCTTCCGACTGCGTGGTATCGGTGAAATCGGGGAAATTCCGATCGCTGTTTCTTTGCTCTTTCGTTATTAAACACCAAATGCCGTACATCTTGTAAAAGTTCAGCTTTTCCTCGTTACAATGGTGTAAGTTGTTTTTATGTCTGATTAGTAGGAGCTGGAGAATCGACGACGAAAGCGAAGCCCCTCACGGTCGGAATGCGTGGTCGGCCGGTTGAAAAATTGACACGGGTGCATTCAAATGCTTCGCGGAGCGAGCGATGATTAAATACCATCTTTTCATTGGCATAGAACTAAAGAGCTTTAAACGGGCTTTTCCATGATATGTATTTGGCCTTTGGCGTTTAAATAAAAAGCTTTTAAAAATACTGTCAAAATGTTTAAAGATCACTTTTTACTCATAATATGTAAAATATCGGTTTAAAAAATATATTTCATAAAAGATCAGCTTATTTACCATTAGATTAAACTAATTAACTTGGAATTATTTTTCATCAATCCTTCCGTGAGACTCAGAAAGCATGTGACCCTGCACGTGGGGTACACTACAGTATAGAGCCGACTCGCTCGCCGCGGGGGCCGGTGCGGCGCCGGCCGGGTCAACGCTCGGTGTTTTTGTCGAAATAACGACAGATCATCGTGTTTGAGGCGATAAAATACTGATTTGTAATGATCTCACAGTCTTGAAAAAAATTAGGCTCCATATATTTGTTATAGTGATTGTACTGTTAATGTGGAGATGTTTAGTGCACTTGGTACTTCTTTTATTGTCTGTCAAACATGGGGTTGCAGCCAGTGACTGACTTTAACAAATTTGATCAAATTTTAAACAACTACCATTTTCTTAAAAATTGACTGAGAGGTTAAAGAATTGTACCAAAATGCTCAGTAGATATAGGCCTTTCAAATGGAACTGATAAATTTGGCATACAGCTACTTTGAAAATTTAGTTTCTGGTACCTAAAACAAGAGAACTCCCAACGTATGAGTAGGTCTATTTATTACATAACCTGGACATTAGGCAAGTCTGCAAGGAAAAATAAAAGCATCTGAAATGAAATGTTGACGTAAAAAGCTCCCACTGCCTTGGACTGACTGCAATGAGCACAAGACAAGAACAGGTTACAACCGTTGTGTTTTTCCACAATGAGATCCCAAACTCTTGCCTCTCAGGGCCAAGTTTGAGATTCCTCTATTTTCTTTTTGAAACATTTTTGCTTCCTTTTAGATCTTCCACAAAACGTTGGTGAGTAAGTATTTAATTTTACTTTATTTACAGTTTTTTGCTTGTCCTTTTGCAGGTGACCAGTTTGGACTAACTATCATCAAAGTGTCAGAAAGAGAAAAACTAGAACCAGGATAGTAACTAGTAAAAGATGACAGTTGAAATTAAAGTTCTCGGGAATCGAACAAGTCAAGAACTTACAGCGGTGACAGCATCGCTGACCACACGGAGGGTCCAGTTGGGCTTGGTGATGTCAAACTGCTGGGACGAGGGTCGCGACCCCTTGCCCTCCTGACCTTTGTCCTTTCCCCCTTTGTCCTTGCCGGCCTTGGGTTTGGCCTTGCCCCCGGCAGCCGCGGGCGTCTTCTCTACCTTGGGTGGGGACGGGGGACGTTCTTTGGCGGTGACTGGTGTGAGAAAAACATTGATAAAGCTGACTGGTGGGGGAAAAACATTGATAAAGCTGACTGGTGGGGGAAAAACATTGATAAAGCTGACTGGTGGGGGAAAAACATTGATAAAGCTGACTGGTGAGGGAAAAACATTGATAAAGCTGACTGGTGGGGGAAAAACATTGATAAAGCTGACTGGTGGGGGAAAAACATTGATAAAGCTGACTGGTGCAAAAAAACCCATTGATAAAGCTGACTGGGGCAAAAAAAACCAACCGTTCAAAAAGACTATTGGTTTTTACTCCAAAATGTACATAAAACAAATTTAAAATAACAGTAAATTATTGCTTTTAAAACTGAATTTTTACTATGTACTGTTGGATACTTCAACCATTCTGAACTACAAAGTAAAACGAAGCTGTGTCATGATCTAATAAGAAAACAACCAAATCGTGTTGTCCTGCACACTCATATGACCTCATGCAGTTGCCAGCTCCGTAAAACTCTTCCCAAAACAAAAGAAATAAGAAAACCACAACATTTTGCGATACAAATAAAGACAATGTGGAAAAGTAAAAGGCGCAGATGTCCAGTTTGTACTTTTTCTTGGGTTGTGCCACTTAGATTTTGCTATGGGCCTAGGCTATCTATCATAAGGATATTACAGAGAAAAACTTGAGAACTCTAGAGATATCGCCGTTTAAAAAAAAAAATATGGCAAGAGAGACACACAGAAGTCTTCAAAGACAAAATTTCAATTTTCTGTCTCGTGAAAAAAGGTCATCTGTGCTTGTTCCCATTTAGTCTTCAAAAACTCACACAAGAAAATCAGTTTTCACATGTGGCCAGCTACAGTAGGGAAGTGAATGGACAACACAACAGCGATGTTTTAGTTTTAGTAGAGGTTTTACGGCGCTCGTAACTGTACACGGTCATATGAGCGCCACGCACACAACAGTGAGAGCTAAAGAATAACCAGTCAAATGTAAAACCTTCACAAAATGAACGGACAGTAACTGGAGCATGTACAAAAAGGAAGAACAGAAAATGATAATCTGAACAGGAAGTTCTCATACTATAAAACACACACACACACACACACACACACACACACACACACACACACACACACACACAACCATACAGCACAAGCGCACGCAATGTTTGCACCCCCCCCTCCTCCCCATCTCTCTCCGTCTTTTAAATTCTTTCTATTTAATATACGCAGGCACACACCCACATACACACACACACATACACACACACACACACACTCACACAAACACTCACACACATACACACACACACATGTTCACAAGTTAACTTTGTTAAAACCTAGCGCACCATCTCGTGTCTGAACACCAGATCAAAGCGATGTTATGGCACTTTTTAAACCTTCGTACACAACAATAGACGCACGTACTTGCATATTTCATAGAACGCTTGTTGTTGTCAGCCTTTTCAAGTTTCAGAATGGATAAGGAGCAGCAGGATTAAAAAACAAATCGGTATGAATACATACCGAAGGTATGCTTCATTTTTTTTTAAGTGCCCTAAAAATAGCGCGCCTTCCAGCGTTGTCGAATCAAGAATTATCAGAATGCGCAGCTTCAACGAGATAATATTTTTGTCGCATGGCTGCATTCGCTGGTGTACCTGAGCCTCGATGTCACACCACAAAAGTAGCAAGAGATGCGCGCTATCCTTTTCAGCCTTGTTTTCAAGTTTTGATCGTTTTTTTAACCAGCGTGTCTCTCCACCCCCC